CGCCCAAGTCTACCAAACAACTTACTAAAAGCTGAACCCCCGGGATGTGTACACGCATGGGGACCAAGCAGGGGGTACCACCTAATAGATAAGAGTATTCAGTACACGGTGGGGTAATAGTCAAGGCACCCCCTCCCCCACCAGGCAGAAAAAGAAAAAGAAAACCCCACAAGAGGACAGTGTACCCAGGCAGAACAGAGCCGATCACTATGAATGGTGAAAATAAGCTGCACAGTACCCTGCGCCTCTTACTGGTGCAAACTGCCTCCAACCCTAAGGCGAACAAGGGAGTCAAAACACCCTAGCACACAAAGGAAGGCCGAAAACCGAGCAGTAAATGGCCAAGCAGGCAAAACCCAAGGAACTTATGGAAGGTGGCCCCAAGCCCCAACTGCAGTACTTACCTGACACCTAGGGAAGAGATCCTTAGGCGCATGCAACCCGAGTACTGAAGAAATACTCCTGGCTCGCGCACCCCCTAAGAGACAGCCACCACACACAAGGCACACAGCTGAAACCAATTCTGGAGCCAGAGCACACAACCTCTGCCTAGTGCATCAGCCTGAGAACTGAGGGCCAGAGGGCAACATACCCAGGCGGAACAGAGCTGGCCGCTATAATAGGTGATAACTAGCTGTGCAGTACCCCCGCACTCCTACCAGTGCAATCTACCCCTTACCCTAAGGTAATCAAGGGAGGAGGAAACCCCCAGCCCACGTGGGGCGGTCAATTACCAAGTAGCAAAAAGCCAACAGAGGTAGACTCCAAGGTGACTTGTGGAATATGGCCCCAAGCCCCAAGGGCGGTACATACAGGGCGCTAAGAGAAGGTAACTCTAAGCACATGCAGCCCAAGCACCTGTGAATTTACTCCCAGCTCACACACCACCCTGAAGACAGCACTGGATACAAAGCACAGCACAGAAAACACAAAATTCAGGAGCTGGAGTCACACAACCAAGCCTCAAACACATCAGTCGAGAACTGAGTTGTGGGTAGCCGGCGTGAGGGGTCTGGGGTTTCCCCCTTCCCCCACCCGGGGAGAGGGAAGCTGCGCAGACGGTGGTGCAGCACGTGGTAATTACCTAAGTGTAATTACCTAAGTGTAGTTACAGGATGAGAGCTACGCTCGTGGTGTCCCGTCTTCCCAGCACTCTTTGTCATATAACGCTTTGAAACTACTGACGGTCTTGGCCTCCACCACCTTCTCACTTAACTTGTTCCAACCGTCTACCACTCTATTTGCGAAGGTGAATTTTCTTATATTTCTTCGGCATCTGTGTTTAGCTAGTTTAAATCTATGACCTCTTGTTCTTGAAATTCCAGGTCTCAGGAAGTCTTCCCTGTCGATTTTATCAATTCCTGTTACTATTTTGTATGTAGTGATCATATCACCTCTTTTTCTTCTGTCTTCTAGTTTTGGCATATTTAATGCTTCTAACCTCTCCTCGTAGCTCTTGCCCTTCAGTTCTGGGAGCCACTTAGTAGCATGTCTTTGCACCTTTTCCAGTTTGTTGATGTGCTTCTTAAAATATGGGCACCACACAACAGCTGCATATTCTAGCTTTGGCCTAACAAAAGTCATGAACAATTTCTTTAGTATATTGCCATCCATGTATTTAAATGCAATTCTGAAGTTAGAAAGCATAGCATAGGCTCCTTGCACAATATTCTTTATGTGGTCCTCAGGTGATAGTTTTCTATCTAGAACCACTCCTAGATCTCTTTCTTTATCAGAATTCTTTAAAGATTTCTCACATAATATATAGGTTGTGTGGGGTCTATGTTCTCCTATTCCACATTCCATAACATGACATTTATTAACATTAAATTCCATTTGCCAAGTGGTGCTCCATATACTTATTTTGTCCAGGTCTTCTTGAAGGGCATGACAGTCATCTAAATTTCTTATCCTTCCTATTATCTTAGCATCATCAGCAAACATGTTCATATAATTCTGTATACCAACTGGTAGATCATTTATGTACACAATAAACATCACTGGTGCAAGAACTGAACCCTGTGGTACTCCACTTGTGACATTTCTCCATTCCGATACATTGCCTCTGATTACTGCCCTCATTTTTCTATCAGTAAGAAAATTTTTCATCCATGATAGAAGCTTACCTGTCACCCCTCCAATATTTTCCAGTTTCCAGAACAACCTCTTATGTGGAACTCTGTCGAAAGCCTTTTTTAGGTCCAGATAGATGCAGTCAACCCAACCATCTCTTTCCTGTAATATCTCTGTGGCTCGATCATAGAAACTGAGTAAATTCGATACACAGGATCTTCCAGATCGAAAACCATACTGTCTGTCTGATATTATATCATTTCTCTCTAGGTGTTCTACCCATTTAGTTTTGATTAGCTTTTCCAATACTTTCACTATTACACTTGTCAATGATACAGGTCTATAATTGAGGGGGTCTTCCCTGCTGCCACTTTTGTAGATTGGAACTATGTTAGCCTGTTTCCACCCGTCTGCTACGATTCCTGTACACAGGGATGCCTGAAAGATCAGGTGAAGTGGAATGCTGAGCTCAGATGCACATTCTCTCAGAACCCATGGTGAAACGCCATCTGGGCCAGCTGCTTTGTTCTTACCGAGCTCCTTGAGCATTTTTTCCACTTCGTCTCTAGACACCTCTATGTGTTCTATGTTGTTCTCTGGAATTCTTATTGTATCTGGTTCCCTAAAGATTTCATTTTGTACAAACACACTTTGGAACTTTTCGTTTAGTGTTTCACACATTTCCTTTTCATCTTCCGTGAATCTATTTCCCATTTTCAACCTCTGAATATTATCCTTTACCTGCAATTTGTTGTTTATGAATTTATAGAATAGACCTGGTTCTGTTTTACATTTGTCCGCAATCCCTTTTTCAAAATTTCTTTCTGCCTCTCTCCTCACTGCCGTGTAGTTGTTTCTCGCATCTTTGTATCGCTGGTATGTTTGGGGGTTCGGCCTCTTCCTGTATTGATTCCATTTTTGTGTCTTTCGGTCTCTAGCCCTCTCGCAATTTCTATTGAACCAATCCTGTTTCCTAGTTCTGCATCTCTGTTTTGGTATAAATTTTTTTGTGCCTTTATCATATATTTCACAAAACTTGCCATACATCTCATTCACTTCCTTGCCTAGCATCAAGTCTGTCCAATTATACTCACTAAAAAAATTTCTAAGGTCACCATAATGTCCTCTCCTGAAGTCTGGTTTTTCAACTGCTTCAACCTCCTTATTTTCTTCCAGCTTATAACGCATTGCATACTTTATTCCCAAAAAGACATGGTCACTTTTACCCAAGGGAGGAAGGTACTGAATGTCAAATATCTCTTCCTCCTTCCTGGTAAATATCAAATCTAGCATGGAGGGAACGTCCCCTTCCCTCATCCTCGTAGCTTGTTTAACATGTTGATACAAGAATGTTTCCAGGATGAGGTCTACAAATTTACAGGTCCAAAAATCTTCTGTTTTAGCTTCATATGCTTCCCAGTCTATGGATTTCAAGTTGAAGTCACCGACTATCAACAGTCGTGATCTATCGTTATCCGCTCTCGCTATAATCTCTCTCATTATTGTTATAAGACCTTCACGTTTACTATCTAGCTCCTCCTTTGACCATGTGCTGCTTGGCGGTGGACTATATGCATTTATCATCATTAGTTTATCATCCTCATAGCAGATCTCTAGTGCTATTATGTCAACTTCTTGTGGATTGGCAGTCATTATTTCCTTCACCTTTAGGTGTTCTTTTACCAGCACAGCAACGCCACTGCCTTTCCTAATTTTTCTGTCCCGTCTCCAAATTGAGTAGCCCCTTGGGAATATGACCTCATTTAAAATTACATCTTCAAGTTTTGTCTCCGTGAGTGCAACAATGTCTGGTGTCTGCAGCTGTATTACATCACTTAACTCCAGTATCTTCGATCTCACTCCATCTATGTTGGTGTATGCAATCTTCAGGAACTTGTTCCCCCTCTCCTTATTCTTCACTCCCCCTCTCTCTATTGATTTTGTTGGTTTGCCTTTATGTACCACTTTACTGGTTTGCCTACCCCTATCACTTTGTAGAAAAAAGAATTTATTTCTTCTTCATTCCTGCTCTCATTTAAATGTTTTGCCTCGGCGAGGTTCAGTTTCAGCTTCTCTCTATCTTCTTTTGAAAGATCTCGTCTTAACGACCACCCTTTCCCATCCTCATCACTTTGCAATTTTCTAGCGTTCCTTAGTACTTCTTCCATCTGTTTGGCACCGTTTAGGGTGATCCTCAAAGGTCGATCTTTCCCTTTTACGTACCTGCCTATTCTCCTGTAGTCGCACACATTCTCTATGGTTGTAAGACCTTCCACGAGGCCAACAATTTTATCTACTACTTTAGCTTCTTCTACAGCTCTTTCTGACCTAGATGTTATCGCCTTTTCTTTGCAGCCAAATGATGGTGATGTCATGCTCATGTGTCTTTGGGCCGTGGGCTGTGACAAGGGTTCGAACCTACTTCCGAGAGCATCCCAGACGTTGCCTTAATCGACTGAGCTACGACATGGTAAAAGAATTACAACCAGAAGTTCTACTGACATTACTTGGACCCTGCAGCCACTCCAAGACACAAACCAGGATTTTACGCAATTCCCCCATGCACTCAAGCTCTGTCAATAGGCCGTTCTTGTGGATTAGTTCATTTGATGCATGACGCTATTGTGATTTCTGTGTGTAATGAAGTAAGGGCGAAGAGGTAGAACGGCCTATTGACAGAGCTCGAGTGCATAGCGACATTGTGTAAAATCCTGGTTTGTGTCTCAGAGTGGCTGTAGGGTCCAAGTAAGGTCATTAGAACCTCTGGTTGCAATTCTTTTACGATGTCGTAGCTCAGTCTGATCAAGGCAGCTCATGGGATGCTCTCGGACGAAGGTTCAAACCCTTATTACGGCCCTTGTGGATTTGTTCACACTTGGGTAATTACATTGGACCACATTGATTATTGATTTACATATTACACTCACTTCAGGTAAATTGCTAGGGCTTTATCATGCTTGTCAATGTTCGAGTAGAGATGAGCAAGAGCCTGCAGCAACGTCATATTATTGGTGTTCCGAGCCAGGGTCTCTAGAACAGCATTGATGACAAATGACACGTTGTAGAGGTGACCTGGCCAGTCCTGAACCACTTGCAGAAATCCCTGAAAATTTATAATTACAAACACATAATTAATAAACAAAAATAATGATTATTAAAATTAAGCAACAAAACTGTTGTTAATCCACAAGCTTACCTCACAGATTTGGCAAATATATAGAAAAGTCTGACTTCAATACACTGAATTTATAAAACCTGCATTGAATGTAATGTAACGCAATTTTTTGGGTGAGACCCGGAGGCTCCCCGGAGCTATCTAGGCTGATATTGCTAATGTCAGACTTTGGCTTCAGTCATGTGTATGGAGTTCTTTAGGCCTACCAGGGACCAAGAGCCAGAACCTGGCACCCTCAGAGAGGCACGTGGAGCAATGACCTATAGAGCAATGGCCCAGTGGTTGGAAGTATTTTATGCCTGCCATCGACCGGGTCAGACACCCAGAAAGGTAAGCATCCCAAAACAAGCCCCTATTCTGGTTAAGAGATTGCTACTGAAAGAACTAGTGGACAGAGCTCTTCAAACAAAAACGAGTATGACGTCACCACGTTGCTGCGCCGCCGTCTGCACAACTCCCCCCTTCCCGGGAGAAGGAAGGAGGAACCCCAGAACCATTGCGCCGCCTACCCAAGACCCTAGTTATGAGGCTGGATATCAAAACACATGAAAAACCGCTGGATGGAGGGAGGGAGGGTTGCCGGGGAGCCTCTGAGTCCCATACAGAAAATGGCATTTTATTACATTCAATGCTGGTTTTCTGGGAGGAGCCCCGTTGGCTCTCTGGAGCTACCTACCAAAAGACGAAAACAAGAGCGACCTACCCGAGAGGTGGACGTCACTCACTCCCCTGTTCAAGGACCAGGAACATCAACGAACGAATGCGTAGCCAACCTACGAACGTCGTGGGTAAGGGGAAAGACTGCAGGCTGGCTGGACCGAACCACCCCAAGGACGACTCGAGAGAACCGCACCCTGGAACAGGAAAGAGGAGAAACTGGAGCAACCCAAAGCGTGACCCCTTTACGGCAACAGTGGCACGCAAAGAATGGCGAAGCGCCGCAACCGAACACAACACATGATGCACCCCTGGCCTGCATCAACATCAAGCATCAACAACCCAAGGACCCCTCCAGAAAGCAGCCGTGTCAGTCTTCGCCAGAAAAAGAGACAGCTGCAAGTGAACAAACCTATCACGAGGATCAAAAGAGCAGAAACCCTGGCGCAAAAGGAGAGTATGAAGCACCCCGACCCAACCCCCAGAGGCCAACACCAGCAGGAAAGGAGCCCCGGAAAACAATTTAGAACCGAAGGGGCCACAACAAACCGAGGAGAGCAGAATAGAAGAGAGCACCCAATCCAAGAACCAGGACGGATCAAACGGCGCTAGAGCAGGCCGGAGGTGAACCACGCCAGAGACAGCTCGCGAATTTGTGCAGAGGAAACGCCAAATCCGAAGCAACCCAAAGCGGCTCCGCCAGCACAGCACGAGACAAGGCGATAGTATACGGCAAGGTGACGGCCCTGAACCTCCACAAGAGATGGACAAGACCCCGCAAAGAAAACACAGCAAACCTTCGAAGGGAAAAAGAAAAAGGAAGGACCGCAAAAACCCCACACCGCTGCCGAGACAAAGCATGCAGGTGACACACCATCAACGAAGCCACCTGAACACCAACAAAAGGTGAGAGAACCGAACCAGCCTCACCATAGACTGACCGAGCATGGGAAGAGGCGGAGCCACAGGAAAACCTCGGGTGCGAACACCGAGCAAACAGAGCCGGAAACCCAAAGCTGGCACTGAACCAGCTAGAATGTCTGCCGTACAGAAAACTTCCCAGTAGTAGCAAGCTCATCAGGTGATCGGAGACAATGTGGTTCTGACGCGAGACTTGCGAGATTAGGAATGCGTCAACTGGCAGGGTAAGCCAGGAATCCAGGAACTCAAACCCGGTAAGCCAGGAAAGAACCAACCCGGGCGAGCAGACACGCTCCGTCCGGGATTAACACCCCAGGACCCTAGAAGGACCAACAAATCCGCCAACAGATGGCAACTAGAAGCCGCCAGCAGAAAAACGCTGAACCGCAGACGCTGCAAACAGCAAGGACAAAATTGCAACGAAAAGCCATGGACTCAGGCCGAGGCCAACGAGGAAGAGAGCACCACTAGTTGAAACGCAATGCGAAAAATAGGGACACCGCATCCCGCAGGAGTGGCAAACACAGTCCCAACAGGGCAGAATGAAGCATGCAATGCCGAGAAAGGTATGAAGAGAATCAACAAGGAGCCAGAACCTGGCCCCCTCATAGAAGCATGGGGAGCAATGGCCAATAGAAACCCCCGTGTGGTTGGAAGCATTCTATGTCTGCCATCGACCGGGTCAGGCACCCAGCAAGGTAAGCGTCCCAAAACAAATCCCCCATTTTGGTGAAAATTGCTACAAAAAGCCAAACAAGTGGATAGACCTCCCCAAAAAGACAAGAGCAAACGAGCATGACATCACACGTCGCCGCACCACTGTCTGAGCAGCTTCCCCTTCCCCGGGAGGGGGAAGGGGGAGCCTCAGACCTCCGTCTGGGGAAGGGAGGGTTGCCGGGGAGCCTCTGGGTCTCACCCAGAAATTGACGTATAATTACATTCAACGCTGGTTTTCTAGGGGGAGCCCTGTCGACTTCTCAGAGCTAACTACCGCCCAGACGAAAATTCGAGGGACTTACCCGGGAGGAGGTCATTGCTCAATTCTCAACCCGAAGTTGAGACAACTGACTGCAACCGCCGAAGGGGGTACGGACTGAACCAAGGCCGAAGCGACCATCACCCCCCAAGTCCGGGTCCTTATAGGCAAAACGTGGCAGCCTCGGGGCATCCGGGTGAGCAATCAACCTAGTGCGTTGCAACAACCTAAAGCACACATGCAACACCTGCGCTGCCTGTACCCCACATTAGATTATAATTGGACTGGGTACACCGAGTCACCAGCAAGCAACAAAACTCGCAAGACTCCGGGTCGAAAGTGTCATCGACCCAACAGGCAGCGTGATGGAGGCAAAAATATTAAGAGTCACCCTAAGACAAGGGGAATGAGCAACCCTCGAACTCGCACAAAGCGAGGGGGCACTTCGGTGTCACATCCATCAGACCCCTGTGGTTTCCCAGGGTGCTGAGACAGAACTCACTCTCAGGGAATCTCAGGCAGGGTACTGCTCACCGGCGCCCAAAACTACCAAGCAACTCTCTAAAGCTGAACCTCAGGGACGTGTACACTCACGTCCCTGTGTTCTAGCAGGGGACACCACCAGAAAAGAAACGTGCTCAGGTCAGGCACAAAGGGGTAAAACAGGGCAGACCCCTCCCCACACAAGGCAAAAAGAAAAAGAAAAATAAAACACTGCAAGAAGACAACGTACCCAAAAGGAACAAAGCCGGCCGCTATGAACAGTGAAAACAAGCAACGCAGCACCCTGTGCCTCTTACCAGTGCAAACTGTCTCTTACCCTAAGGTAAAGAAGGAAGACAAAAACCCCAAGCACCCAAAGGGTGGCCAAAAAACCGAGCAGTAAATCGGCCCAGCAGAAGCAGGACCCAAGGAACTTATGGAAAGTGGCCCCAAGGGCAGAACTTACAGGGCACCTAAGGAAGGGAACCCTAGGTGCATGCAGCCCGAGTACTGTAGAATAACTCTTGGCTCGCGCACCCCTAGAGGACAGTCACCATAGGGCAAGCACAGTGTTGAAAAACACTGGAGCCAGAGCACACGACCTCAGCCTCTACCATCAGCCTTAGAACTGAGGGGTGGATGGCCGGCATGGGGGTCTGGGGCTCCCCCTTCTCCCTCCCGGGGATGTGGGAGCTGCGAAGACGGCGGTGCGGCGACGTGCGACGTCATACTCGTTTGCTCGTTTCTTTTTGGGGAGTTCTATCCACTTGTTCAGCTTTTTGTAGCAATTTTCAACAGAATAAGGGTTTGTTTTGGGATGCTTACCTTTCTGGGTGCCTGACCCGGTCGATGGCAGACATAGAATGCTTCCAACCACATGGGGGGTTTCTATTGGCCATTGCTTCCCATGCCTCTCTGAGGAGGGCCAAGTTCTAACTCGTGGTCCCCAGTAGGCCCACTGAACTCCATACACATGACTGATGCCAAAGTCTGATATTAGCATATCAGCCTGGATAGCTCTGGGGAGCCAACGGGGCTCCCCCCCAGAAAAGGCCGGAGCCAGGGCCTGAAACCTAGCACCTCCTGGCCCAATGGAAAAAAACTGCAGGGGCAGGAGAGGAGAAATGGAAGCAACATCCACCTGCATACAGGGCAATCCAGAAGCTGGAAGTGCCTAACAAGAAGATGAAAACTCAGGACCATAACTGAACACAGGGGCAGTGCAAATGTAGAGAAATGAACATGGACAAAGTTCAACCTAGCACAAACATTAAAAGAGCCAAGAAGCACATACTAAAACACACAACAATGTGTAGTAGAGAAATAGGAAAAACGGAAAAATGCAAGAAAAAGACCAGAAAGACAGTCAAAGCACCAGCAGCTAGGGACAAGAGTGTAGAAGCAATATTAGGAACATGGCAGCAATCGAGAACAAAATGGACATAACCTACTACACACAAGAAATCCAATGTATATGGAAGGGCTCAGTCAGGCACTGCACGACGGTCAAGGAATGAGTGTCATGAGGCAAGAAAAGTCTCAGGCACGGAAAGACATAAGAAGGATCTCGTAAGATGGGCCCGTGCCCCATAGTGTAACAAATAACACAGACGGACAAAGAAGGTCACGGGAAGAAGCACGCAATGGGCCAGACAAAACACCACAACCAATCCCCAACACTCATCCAAAAATCACAAACCAGCACCTGGCCGAAGAGACGCCAGACCACATAAGCTCACCTGCAGTGCGTAGGCACTATCGTGTCATGACACATCTTAGCCGAGAATATTCCGGGAGCATTGCTTGTGGAATAAGGCCAGAGCTGCATGTGCAGATGAGTAGGGTAGAGGCAGATGCGGCACCACACACCCGTATGCAGAGAAAAGAACTAGGGTCCTCCCCATATTTGTAACGCAGAGAAAAGAACTAGGGTCCTCCCCATATTTGTAACCCAGAACACCCCCAGTTTCTACGGGGCTCGGACTAGAGAAATAAGAGGAGCGAGGACGGCGAATCACCCGAGAGAAAAAGGACGTGGAACACCAACACCTGTGTACACCATCCATAAACAAAAACTCCCACGGCGCATGCGCAAGAAGCATGAGGTCCGAAGCGCACAACCTGCCCGGCGGGGAAGGCGCCAACTAGGAGCATTTAAGGAATATTATCAATGCTGATACAGAGCACGGAGAGAGAAGATATAATTACAAAAGAATGAGACAGTACCGAAAACCAAGAAGAAGCATAGAAGAGAACCAACGAGTCCTAGAAAGGACTGGAGGTAAGCCCCAACGGAAGACGACAGACGTTCCAATAATACGGGAAGTATTGACCCCGCCCCGACCCCGAAACCCACAGACTGTGCGGATCCGGATGCAGGGAGGAAGGGGGGAGGGGGGATCAGACTAAACCACAACAGGGGAAAGACAAGCAGGAGCGGACGGAAAAAAACGAATCCACCAACACCCCCATGCCCGGGTCACAACAACCAAAACGGGGCAGCCCTGGGACTTCCGGGGAGCAAACAACCTAGCGCGTCGCAACCACCTGAACCCAACGTGCAACCCTTGTGCTGTCTGCACCTGCATAGTCAGCTTAGGACTGGGTAACTGAGTCACAAACAAGCAACAAAACTCGCAGGACTCCGGGTCAAAGGTGCCACCGACTCAACAGGCAGCAGACGGAGGCAAAAACAGTGAGAGTCACCCTGAGACAAGGGGACAGAGCAACCTTTGAACTCGCACAAAGTGAGGGGAAACTCTGGGGCAAATCCATCGGACCCGCACACACTCGTGGGGATTCCCAGGACCAAACAGGGGGTATCACCAGAATAGAGAAGAGTACTCAGGACACAGGGGGCAATAACCAAGGCAGACCTCCCCACCAGGCAGGCAAACAAAAAGAAAAAAGAAAACCCCGCAAGAGGACAGCATACCCAGGCAGCACAGAGCCGGCCGTACCCTGCACCCCTTACAAGTGCAAACTGCCTCCTACCCTAAGGCGAACAAGGAAGTCAGAACACCCTAGCACACAAAGGGCGGTCGAAAACTAAGCAATAAACGGCCAAGCAGAGGCAGAACCCAAAGAACTTGTGGAAGGTGGCCCCAAGCCCCAAGGGCAATACTTACCCGGCACCGAGGGAGGGGAACCCTAGGTGCATGCAGCCCGAGTACTGAAGAATTACTCCTGGCTCGCACACTCCTTATAAGACAGCCCCACACCACAAGGGATAGAGCTGAGACCAAGTCTGGAGCCAGAGCACATGGCCTCTGCCTAGCACGTCAGCCTCAGAACTGGGGTCTTGGGTAGCCGGCGCGAGGGGTCTGGGGCTCCTCCCTCCCCCGGAGGGAAAGGGGGGAGCTGCGCAGACGGCAACGTAGTGACATCATGCTCGTTAGCTCGTTTTTGTTTGAGGAGTTCTGTCCACTAGTTGTGCTCTCAGAAGCAATTTCTTAACCAGAATAGGGATTTGTTTTGGGATGCTTACCTTTCTGGGTTCCTGACCCTGGTCGATGGCAGACATAGAATGCTTCCAACCACATGGGGGTTTCTATAGGCCATTGCTCCTCGTGACTCTCTGAGGGGGCCAGGTTCTGGCTCGTAGTTCCCACTAGGCCTAAGAGTTCCATACATGTGACTGATGCCAAAGTCTGACATTAGCAATATCAGCCTGGATAGCTCCGGGGAGCTGACAGGGGCTGATATTGCTCCCCCCCCCCCCAGAAAATATAGTATATATTATAGTATATATTATAGTATATACTACATATTTATATAGTACATATATTTATATAGTACACTAAATTCATAAAAAAACATTTTCACTAACACAAGCTAAGTACTTTTAGCAAAACCCTGAGTGTATCTGATGGAATAGAAATTAAAACATTTGACCACTTCTGGAAGAATTCTTTCATATAGATTATAATCAACTCTTCATCTGGAGCAGCTGAAGAAAAAGCTTCATGAATATTGAGAGGGTATGTAATGAGTCAACATGCAGAGAGCTGTAATACTAATATCAAAAGTGAAAGGAAAAGGGGAGAGAGGGCAATGTAGCTGAGCGAGGGAAAGTAGTAGAGAAAAGGGAAAAGTAGCAGAGGGCAAGGGGAAGCCAGTAGCAGGGAAGAGAAAACAAGTAGTAGGGGAGAACATGGGGGGCCTGATGGCTAAGTGGACAGTGCTCAGAGTTCATTGTCCTAAGGGTTCGATCCCCAGTGTAGGCGGAAACAAATGGGCAGAGTTTCTTTCAGCCTGATGGGTGCCTATTTACTGTTCACCTAGCAGTAATTAGGTACTTGGGAGTTAAACAGCTGTTACAGGCTGCTTCCTGGTGATGTGTGTGTGTGAAAATCAGGATTAAGAACTTGCTCGAAATACTATGCATGCTAGCAGCTGCACAAGAATGTAAGAACTCCTCTTTTTTTTTCTTTTTTTTTTTTTTTGATGCTTTACTCTCATGAATGTATCATGAGGGTAAAGCAGCAAAAGGGAAAGGGGAAGAGAGGAAGAAGGGAAAGTAGGAGAAAGGGAAGAAGGGAAAGTAGGAGAAAGGGAAAAAGAGAATGTAGGAAAGGGGTAAAAGTAAGGGAGAAAGAGTGAGGATACTAAAAGGAAGGATAAAAAAGTGTCAGGATGAACACATCACTTGTGTGACGCGTTCAGATAAAACTGACAGCGCAGCTGACCTGATGATCGGTCTGCAAGAGGTCCAGCAAGACCATCTGATACACAGCTGGATCCAGATTGACACCATGACCTAGAGGCAGGTGGGGACTCAACACGCGCAGTTGACGCACACAGTTGAACCTTACCACAGCCTCCTCCCAGAGTGCCTTGTCAGAACCTGTTCTCAAAGGAACAAAATCACAATTATTTCAAGATCAACTTCTGCAAAAATCAAACCATACTTGGCAATAAAATATTACTAGAATTATAATAAAACTCTAAAAATATCAATGGTTAGCATAGCCAGAGGCTAAACTTGAACTTGATAATGTGTGTGAATCACATTATGATTGTGATCATAATGTGGATCACATGGGGCCCTATGTGGATCACATGGGACCTGCCCCTCTACAAGTTTGCCAAACATTTGTATAATTCAATTTCTTTCTTTATTATGCACCCTATGCCCATCCCGTGGGTGTAAAGGATTACAGAGGCACATAATCGGTTCAGGAACTGAACCCTCTAGTTCGGTTAGCTAAGTAAATAACAGTTTACTGTGGGGAGCCCCTACGGCTCCCTGGAGCTTATCGGGCTAATGTATGTTATATTAGACCGGGACATTATCTAAGGAGTTCAGACCTACCAGCGACCAGCACCAGAACCTGGCCCCTTCAGAGAGGTTTCAGGGAGCAATGGCCCTGGAAAACCCCCTTGTGGTTGGGGTTTTCCTTATCTGCCATTGACCGGGGTTAGGTACCCAGAAAGGTAGGCATAACAAAACAAACCCCACATGGTAAAAAACTAAAACAAAAAAACGAACAGAGAGGTAGAAACTCCCTACAATCCCAAGGAAACAAGCAAACAAGCAATCACCACACTTTACTGCCGCGCCAATCGTCCGTGCAGCCCTCCCCGCCCCGAGAGGGGGAGGGGGGAGCCCCGGACCAACCGCGCCGGCTGCCTAGCTTCAGTTCGTAATCTAATGTCAACCGGGATAGACGATTCTCTGGCCTCAGTTTCCTAGGCGGTGTTTGCCTTGTGTGGCATTCACTGCCGTGTGTTGTGTTGTGCGGTGGCCTTTGTTCCTCATCAGTGCCGGGGCTGCATGCGCTTAGGGGCTTCCTTCCCTAAGTGCCCTGTGAGTACTGCCCCTGCGTAACAGGATTATCTTCCCTGGGGTGTTCAGGAACCATTCCCGTAGAGGTTCTTGCTGCTCAGCATTCGCCTCGCCCTTGGGGCCCTTGTTTGGCCCTGGGTAGGGATTGGTATTGTGCTGGTTAGGGCATCAAGGTGTTGCGCGACCTGCCACCTAAGCAGCGACCAGTTCCTGTTGCCTCTGGAGACGGTGTACTTTTGCGGGGTTTTTCTTTTGTTTTTATTTTCAATTGTCTGGTGGGGGTCTGCCCAGTGTGGCTATAGTTCCATTGGTAGTGTTTGGTGGCCCTCTGCTAGGGGGTTTTCTGTTTTGGGGTTTTCCGGGTTTCGTGCCTTGGCACGTCCCCGAGCCTTCGCTCTATGTGTTCACGGACGGGTCATCTCTCGGCTGGGGCTTTGTGACCAGTGCTCACTAGGTCGGCTGGGGATGGTCGAGTCTGCCCGTCTGTCAGGCTCACAGCACGGTTCGGGAGTTTGTGGCTGTCTGGTTTGCACTTCGGAGGGTTTGGGTCACTCGGTGCTCTGCCATTCAGCTCCATTCGGACTGTTCTCTGGCGGTTCTTTGCCGGAACCACAGGGTTTCTCTTAGGTGTTGACCTTTGGGGTTGGTTCCTTAGAGTGGCTCGTTTGCTGGATTCTTGGGGTTTGGCAAACCGTGAGGTTCATGTGCAGGGTGTGTCCTGCGTCCTGGCAGACAGCTGTCTCAGTTCATTCCTCTGTTCGCGGATTGGCCAGTCGTCGCCGACTCATTTTGTTGGCTCTGCCGGACATATGGACTCCTGGCCATGGACGTCTTCGAGTCGGTGTGACCTAGGCGTCGCCCATTTTATGTGGCGCCCTTACCCGCTTGCAAGGCGTTCACGGTGGATGCTCTTCGGCAGGACTGGTCGGGGTGGGGGTACCTGTTCCTCTTCTCCCGGTCCAGCTATTGCTTTGGGTTCTGGCTCAGTTGCAGCCCATTCCCACGAAAGCAGTCCTTATGGTTCCTTGGTAGCTGGCCCAGCTTTATTTTCAGACGCTGCTTGATAGGTGTCCAAACCCGGGGCGTTTTCCCTCGGCTCCGCCTCTTTCGGCAGGTTGGATCGGTCCTGTATGTGACTGGTTCGGCCTTCTCCTCAGCTCTTCGCATCTAGTATTTTGACGCGGGTATCACCATCTCTGTGGTGTTCAGGTGGCTTTGTTGACGGTGTCCCACCTGCGAGCTTCCTCTTGGCGACAGTATGATGTTCCTGGTGTTTCTTTGCACTTTTTCTTGCTCTTCGTAGGTTGCCTTCTCTTTCGCATCGGGTTGTCTTATCCTTTCTTGGGTTTTCAGGACTACAGTTATTTGATGTTTCTTACTGTCGCCTCGTTTTGTGCGGCGCTGGCGTAGCCGCTTTGGCTTGCGTTCGGGGTGGACGTCACATCTGCCCCGTTTCGTATGCTTTCTTGTGTTTTGTTTCACCTCCAGCCTGCTCATGCATTGCCTGAGCCATCCTGGTCCTTGATCAGGGTTCCTTCTTATCTTCTCCTCAGTTTGTGGTAGCCCCTTCAGTTCAGGTTTTTTTCTCTTTGGTACTGATGGTAGATTTGTACGTGTGCAGCCTTTCTCCGTCCTGGTGACGGTCGAGACGGCTGCTTTCCGGAGGGGTTCTTGCGTTATTGATGCTTGATAGGTTTGGCCGGGGGTGCGTCCTGTGTTGTCTGGTTGCGTTTTTTGCCGTTACCTGCGTAACGTGTCTGGGGATGCACTTTGGTTTGATCCGGTTCCCCTTGTTCCCTGTTTTCAGGGCTCGGGTCTCCCAGGTCGTCCGCAGAGTTTTTCAATCTTCCAGCCTGCGGTCTGTCTTTGCGCCCGTGCTATTCAGACGTTTGCAGCTTTTGCTGCTGTGTTGGTGACGTCTAGGGTTCATTTTGGGTGCAGGGATTTGAGGGTTGCACAGGTTCTTGGCTGCCCATTCTTTATGCCCGTCTGCTCCTGTGTGTTCTTGTTGCCTTGGGTCGCAGGTTGCAACCTGTTGTCTCGGCTTCATGTTGCGGAGTTTGTGGCGACCGCCTCCCAGGTTAGACCTTTCTTTTCCTTCTTTTTGGGTGTGAAGCTCCAGGGAGCCGTAGGGGCTCCCCACAGAAAACCAGCATTGAATGTAATGAAACGCCATTTTCTGGGTGAGCCCCAGAGGCTCCCTGGCAACCCTCCCTCCCACCAGACAGCATTTTTTTCACGTTGGTTGAAGCTTAGCTTCCGAACTGAAGCTACGCAGCCGGCGCAGTAGGTCCGGGGCACCCCCCTCACCCTCTCGGGGCGGGGAGGGCTGCGCGGACGATCGGCACGGCAGTAAAGTTTACTTATTTACTTGTTTGCTTGTTTCCTTGAGATTGTATGGAGTTTCTACCTCTCTGTTCGTTTTTGTTGTTGTAATTTTTTACCATGTGGGGTTTGTTTTGTTATGCCTACCTTTATGGGTGCCTAACCCTAGTCGATGACAGATAAGGAAAACCCCAACCACAAGGGGGTTTTCCAGGGCCATAGCTCCCTGAAACCTCTCTGAAGAGGCCAGGTTCTGGCGCAGGTCCCTGGAAGGTCTGAACTCCTTAGCTAATGTCTCGGTCTAATATAATATACATTAGCCCGATAAGCTCCAGGGAGTCTCCGGGGCTCACCCAGAAAATGGCGTTTCATTACATTCAACGCTGGTTTTTTGACGCTAGTTACAAAATTATTAATGTTATATATACATGTACACATTCTCATACATATATGTACATACATACAACATACATACACATACATACATACATACATACATATATATATGACAATGTCAGACCACGGAGGAAAAATGAAACAGGAATTTCCTTAAGTACTTTCGTTTATTAAATACATCTTCAGAAGGTCATTTTACAGATCGAGTGATGGGTATAAATAGGCAGGAGAGAGTGGTGAAGTAAGGTGAGGTACAATACTTGGACAACGCAGACGGCCCATTGGCCCATCAGATGCACCCAATTGGCCCATCCAATGTAGCCCAATGGCCCATCTGTTACAGCAGACATACAAGCATAATACATAGGTAATTATAACATAAAGAGAAATTGATAAATTGATAAATGAAATTGATAAATGTTTGCCATTCTTAGATGTGCTTATTCATAGGGAAAACTCTTCATTAAAGTTTAGTATTTACAGAAAACCTACGAACAATTTATCTTATGTTCATTATTTTTCAGGGCATAAATACAATGTAAAAAAGTCAATTTTTTCTTCAATGTATCTAAGAGCTCTTCGAGTTGTGAGTCCAGAATTCTTAGACGAAGAATTTAAGAATATTGATTCGATTGGTCTTAAGCTTTGTTACCCACTGAATTTTTTGGAAGTTTGTCGTAACAAAGCACGTCGTACATATTATAATAATGTATGCAGTGAAAGGATTCGCCCAAAGAATGTGTTATGTTTACCATATTTCTCTGGGTTTGAGAATATTGTCAAGGCCTCGAAACTTTTTAATATAGATGTATTGTTTAGCTACGAAAACACTGTTGGCAAGCTATTAGTTAGGAACAGCCCTCGTAGTGATAATTGCGTCATTTATAAAATACCTTGTAAGGAATGTAATAAGTTCTATGTCGGGCAAACATCTAAAGATTTAAAATGTAGAATATCGCAACATAAATACTCTGTAAGACATGGCCAATTGTCTAATGCTTTGTTTGTGCATTTGTCAGAAAAAGCTCACCAAATTGATTGGGAGAGTGCTTCTTCTATAACAAATTGTAAAAGCACCTATAACAGAAACATAATTGAATCTGCTTTGATACAGATCACCAAAGAAAGTAATTTGAATATTAGCAGTGGTCTATATAACTTAGATCCATTTCTAATAGATCAGCTAAAGGGCGATTTAAGTAGGATCATTGAAAAACATTTGTCTCACTAATTTATTGTATATATTTACCTCTTTATGTTATAATTACCTATGTATTATGCTTGTATGTCTGCTGTATCAGATGTGCCATTGGGCTACATCGGATGGGCCAATTGGG